GGGGGGAACTCATTTACTATCAGCCACCAAACAGAAAAATAAGTGTCTGGCAGAAAAGACTTCACCATAAACATCTTTTCCATCCCTGACTGGATAAACACAAGACGAAGCGGTGCAAAGAGTTTCCTGGCTACAATCTCCATTTGCTCTTCAAGCAGGAGCTGTGAGTTCAGGAAAACACACAGATTATGGGTGGAATTGTTCATCACTAAATTGTCAAAGGCACCAGTAAGAATTAGATGAGCAAAGCAGTTGTGTGTGCATGAGAGTGTGTGCGTACCCTATCATTTTAGAAGGGATCTGCAATTTTATAAAATTAAAGAAATTAATATAGAAGAGAAAAATATCTGACAGTCTTATGGTACTATAAAAACAAGGACTGGTTTCACACCACATTAGGCTAAAATGTGTTTGGTTAATTTATATCTCATAAATAAGTGTTGTATGAATCCAGCTATTATGATTAATTTATAATCCAGTGTGTTCTACAAGCCAATGGTATTAGGTTAATTTAGTAAACCATAGCTCAATTTAGTAAACCATGGTTCATGGCTGGCATTTTTGAGAACCCAACTTAGTAATTTATTATGGTTGCACCAAGACAGAGCATTTTCACCATCTGCATCCCACCCCAAAATCTTATTTAATAAGCTGCCGACCTGAAAACACTCAGTTATCTTCAGGGCAAATCTTAAGCAAGTGTATTATCTTAAGACTGATTTAACATGCAATTGTTATTTAAAGTTTCCTGCCTTTTTATTCCCTTCAACTGATTTCTATTTTAATTTAATTGTCAACCAGGTGCTTGATATAGGGAGAGAATCCAGCAGCGAAAAGGATGGTGGGAGTGAGTGAGCAGCTTTAGGCTGATCTTGGGAATCATGGTATCTGCATTCAAGACATTCTTGGTCTGCCCAGCTGTTCCATGCATGTTATTTTCAGAAACATAGTAATCCTGGGGGGATCGTGGGTGGAATTGTGTAAATAAGTTGGGTGAGGTAAAAAAGCTCAGAAGTCCCAAGGTAAAGAACACTGGAGAGGGATGATTTCAGCTGTAGCTTAACACCTAACAGAAAAGAATAAAGATAGGAATTTGGATGGGTGAGAGGAAATTTTAGTATGCAAGGCTTTTCAAGGCACCATTTTTTAAAAAGGAGTGGGGGGTAGGGTTATGTGCCTGGGAATAAATTCCACTTGTGAGAAGGCAGGGAGAAGTGAGGGCCTCAAACAAACCATGTTTGCTAGGGGAGAACGCTGTGCACCATGGGGCAGCCTTGGGGGGGACGGCAGGAGGGAGGATGGGCAGAAGGCACGTTCGCACCAGAGTGAAGAGGGACAG